ACACCGCAGCGTTCGAGAAGGTGAAGACGGCACTGGTGTCGCCACCCATTCTCGACTTCTATAATCCCACGCGCAGAACTGTTCTGGAGACTGACGCATCACGTCTCGGAGGCCTGGGATTCTGCCTCAGACAACAAGACGAGAACGGCAACTGGCGACTGATACAGTGCGGCTCTCGATTTCTAACTGATGTCGAGACCCGCTACGCCGTGATTGAACTCGAACTACTGGCCCTCGTGTGGGCATGCTATAAAGCTGACACATACCTCAGGGGTATGCAGACGTTTGAAGTGGTTCTGGACCACCGGCCCCTGATTCCGGTTTTGAACAAGAAAACACTGGCAGAAATCGACAATCCCCGCCTGCGGCGACTGCGCGAAAAGCTCATCGCGTACAACTTCGTCACCAGCTGGAGGCAGGGAAAGCTCCACTCCATCCCCGATGCCCTGTCTCGGGCCCCAGTCGAGCGACCGACGGCGGAGGATGAAGCAGCTGAGCACGACATCAGCGTGAGAGTCCAGTCCGTAGTAAGCAGCCTCACCGCTTCAGACAGTGAAACGGACCCCAGCCCGTTCAAGGACTCCACTCTAGTAGAGGAAGTAAGAGCTGCATCTACCGGCGACCCAGAGCTGCTTGCACTGAAGCACACGATCATGCACGGCTTCCCGGACCATCGGAGAGAACTGGAGCCGATACTGCAGCCCTACTGGGGCTGTCGTGAGCGACTGACTGTCGACAACGGCCTCATCCTGTGCGGCCAGAGACTGGTGATCCCACAGCAACTCAGACGGGTGACGCTGGAGCGTCTGCACTCCAGCCATCAGGGGATCGAAAGGACCAAGCGGCGAGCAAGACAAGTGGTCTACTGGCCACAGATCGACAAACACATCAGCGACCTCGTTGGAGCCTGTTCCAGATGTCAACGTCACCTGCCGAGCCTGCAGAAGGAACCGCTGATGCTGGAGCCGCTGCCGACACGCGTCTTCCAAGCCGTGTCCGCCGACTACTTCAGCTGGGCCGGGAGGACCTACCTGGTCTATGCCGACAGACTGTCCGGTTGGCCGTCCGTGTACCACGTCAGAGGAGAAGCATCAGCCAGAGCTCTCACCAGATGTCTCCGCAAGATGTTTGCGGCCACAGGTGTGCCACAGACACTGAGAACTGACGGCGGAGGACAGTTCACAGCGCGACATACCCGCGAGTTCTTGAAGAAATGGGGAGTCATTCATCAAATCTCCACGCCACACTTCCCACAGTCGAACGGACATGCAGAAGCCGCCGTCAAGAACGTCAAACGGCTCATCAAGAAAACGACGCAGCACGGTGATCTCGACACCGACGAGTTCGTCCACGCTCTGCTCGAGCTTCGGAATACGCCGCGCGCGGACGGACGCTCTCCAGCGCAGGTGTTATTTGGCCACCCGCTGAGGTCGGCAGTTCCGGCCCACCACCGCGCGTTTGCGGCGCAGTGGCAAGAGGCTGCGGACACCTGTGATGCCAGAACTCGACAGCAGAGAAGCCAAACCGAAGAGCGATACAACATGACTGCGCGAGCACACCCAACACTCCGAGTGGGACAAAAGGTCATAGTGCAAGACCCTATCACGAAGGTATGGGACCGTACCGGCACCGTGACCGGCGTGGGGAGCAGGCGCGACTTCAACATCAGACTGCCCAGCGGGCGACTCATGTGGCGGAATCGGCGATACCTGCGACCACAGAGCGTGGCCGCCTCCCAGTCTCCGCCACCGCAGCCCCAATCTCCACCACCGCAGCAGCGCCGGCCGGACGGAGAGGCGACCGCCGGCAGCCCGCGGCCTGCGCCTCCGCTGCCGCCTGTCGACGGCGTCGGAGAGCCCCCAGCACCGCTCACCGACGCACCCGCGGCACCAGCGGACGCACCGGAGCCGCGACGCAGCAACCGGCAGCGCCAGCGCACAAAACATCTATCTGTGAGCTGGGGCACTAAGTCATACCAGACGATACCGTGATACAGCATCGCTTACTGTCCGACATATGTCATCCCACACCCTGCGTGGTGCCGGGAGACCTCGTCCTCCGCCTCTGGAAGTTTTCTTTTTGTTTCTGTTAATGGCGTTATGTGCCTGCTATGTCGTTAGACGTTAATCACTTTGTACCTCTGTGTTTACGTCTTGCGGGGGAGGTGATGGGATAGTTATCTGGGGGGAGGTGTTATGTGCGGACTTGTGGGTTTGATTTCGGCCACTCTAATCGCCCGAGGCACGGCCGGCCACCGGGGCTGACCGGTCGTCCCCTCCTGAGCCAATACAGTTGACCGACACGAGAGCTAGTGTGTGGACCGGGAGCCGGGGCGAATCGAACAGACCTGACCTCATATGACCTTTAGGAATACTCCGAGATATACAAGTTGTGAGACTGGTAATGAATACTAGATCCTGCAAGTTTCATTTCCCTGTGAAAGCTCCTTTGGCAGTGACGGCGTTCCGAAGTTGCGACATCTGAAGGCCGTGCAGAGATTCACTTATGACGTCATAGGTCAGTGACCTGACCTGACCCGAAAATGCGGTTAGTGTCAAAGGATCCGGCTTGGATCAAAGGTCAGGTGTGATAAGTTAGCTCTCTAACCACCAGCGTGTTCGGACCCAGTAAACATGCCGACGTCGGCCCGACGTCGGCAGACGTCGGGGTGACGTCGGCAACTCGGCATCGGCATGCCGACGTCGGCCCGACGTCGGTCCAACCTCGGCACGACGTCGGCTGGATGTCGGATATGCCCGCATGTTCCGACGTCCAGCCGAGGTCCAGCCGACGTCGGGCCGACGTCGGACCGAGATCAATTGCTGAGGTCCAGCCGACGTCGGGCCGACGTCGGGGCGACGTCGGACCGACATCGGCCGCTGTTTTGACCGTTAAAATAGTATAAAATACATGTTTCATGTTTCATAAAGAGCTTCTGTATTCAAAATATCCTCAGGAAACTCAAATCTTCCTCCACGCGCAACCCCCTGATCCGGACTGGACGGGAAACTTTATCCCATTTGGGATTGCCCGTAAGCCGAGCTCGCCCGTAGCCGGGTGCGGTGAGTGCTTGGGGGCTGCTCGGCCTATCCTTTGGTCAGGCTCAGCCCCGGCAACTCACCAGGGCCGGGCCCAGTTCATAAAGAAAGGCCAGTCGGCAAGTGTCACTTTGCCAAAGTGCCACTCATCAAAGGGACACTTTGGGAAACGTTGGTGCAGGTGTGTAAGAGTGGCTATATGAATCCATTGTGGGGTCGCCCTTTCCAATACCTAAGTGTCACGTAACAGCAATGGGACCAGGGACTCTATATGAACTGGACCCAGGGTGCTCGCCAAGAAGACCAATGTCTCCATCCTATGATCCTTCCGGCTCTGAAATGGTCTTGTCAGACCGAAAGGGCATAACCCAACAAAACAAACCAACCTCGTTAGCTGGCTGTGTGGTGTAGTGGTTAGCGCACTAACCTCACGTTCGAGTGACACGGGGTTCGAATCGGGGTTCGAATCCCATCGCCGGCTGATTCTTTTGGCGTGTTGTCCCAGTAAACATGCCGACGTCGGCGACTGGGGGGCTCGAATCCCGCCGCCGGTTGATATTTTTGGCGCGTTGTCCCAATAAACATGTCGACGTCGGCCCCGTCGGTCCAACGACAAACGATCTCGTCAACATCGGCAAACGATCTCGGCCCGACGTCGGCTCGACGTCGGCTGGACTTCGGCTGGACGTCGGAACATGCGGGCATATCCGACGTCCAGCCGATGTCGGGCCGAGGTTGAACCGACGTTGGGCCGACATCGGGCCGAGCCTCGGCCCGACGTCGGGCCGACGTCGTCATGTTTACTGGGGAGCTATCGCGAAAAAAAACTCTATGGGGGGCGCCACCCCCCCCCCCCGGCCGGCGAGGGTTAGAGAATTAATAATAAAGAAATGTTTATTGAATATTTTTAAAACAGTGAACCGTAAAATTATATCCTGGTAGGTTTAGTAGAAAATACTCCGCGCAATTTACATAGGGTAAGGTGCCTAATTAGCGACCCTTTCCGATTTGCGACCTACCTCCCTACAGAAAAACTGGCAGGAGAAAACGGGGTAAAAACATCGTCAAAAGGTCAGCCGTACTTTGGTTATCAGATTTAATTATTTTCCGGTCGTCGATGTTTCTGGTGGGACGTTTCAGGTGAGTTTAAATAAAAATGACGAGTTTCTTATCCAAAACGTGTGTGTTTGGGCCCTCTCTGATGAAAAGCGATTCACCTTAGGATGATGCACCTTTTTTATTCTGAATCGACATTCCTTTTTTAATCGATTGCCGTTTTCCCATAGTGAATCGTTCAACTGTGCACAGCATGGCGGTTAAAAATGTGTCGCAACTCATATTTCCTATTTGCGCCTGACATGGTCGCAAATAGCTCAAGAAGGGAAAGAAAGGGGAAAAGAGAGAAATGAAAATGAGGTGTTGCTGAAGCTTGTAATGTGTGGCAGGGGTTGCCAAATGTCGTCACCGACTGCAGGGGTGCCGAATTCAGCGCGGACCTCGAATGTCATACAAGATAGTCCGCAAAATTTGGGTTTCCGACTTCTTTTCGCCTTCGGTGCATCACGTGATCAGTTTTTACTTACGCAAATGTGTTGGATAAACGTTCCTGTTCGAGTGATTGAGTGCTTTGCGCATAGGTTACCTTTTTGAGATCATATTTCATCTTTTCAGGCGTCGCATTTTTTGCCATTTTTAATATGGGGAAACCCATAGACTTATTAGCGACCCTCCCCGGTCGCTAATCGGGAAGAGTTCCCTATTAGCGTTTTTTGCAATGGTTTGCCAAAATGCTCACTACAAATAAGTTATTGAATATTGGGGCAGAAAATGACCATATTTTAATAGAAAAATGAACGATCTCTCCGAAAATCAAGCCAGGAACACAGTGGCACCCACAGAGCGTGAGTAATGACGGTTCAAATTAAGGGGGTCGCTAATTAGGCACCTTACCCTAGCCTTGGAACCAAGCGGTACATAGAAGGTCGGGTTCACCGACAACGACAACTTCGGGGACGACGACAACGACAACCGACAACGACAACGACTATCAGCTAGGGTTGCACTAATTGCCTATATGCCTGCTCTGTCATTTTATCAGAGTATTATCGATTAAAACACTGAAATAAATTCATAAAATGAAGACATTTGCTGTAAAAGAGATAAGGTGCAGATTTGGTCAAATTAGGTGCATTTGCGGATAGCCCGTTGTGAAAACGGCTACTTCCAATCCATACCATACCTACCATACCTATCCAGTATCCAGTGTCAAATGTCAATCATGTCGCCCTGCTAGTTCCTCCTAGCCAGATGAGCGACAATCAGTTGATATTGTGACGTCACAGCACCTTTATCATCCACACCAACAATGCGAATCACTTCCTGGGCGCAGTCCCGTATGAAGTCACGCCTGTCGCGCTCAGGAACCCTCATCATGAATGGACTGACGGCTGCAAGAGCCGCCTCCAGCTCCGCCCGTGAGCGGTAGACGAACGTGCTCTCTGGCGCCGTCACGTCTCTGACCTCCAGGCCGGCCGTCTCTGCGCACCGGCGGAACTCGCCGGCCGGGTCGGACACTCCCTGGTACGGCGTGATGAACGCTCGCCAGTCGGCCATGTACTCCTTCCATCTGGACATCGCCGCTACCTTTTCGTACATTGGGTAAATTTTTGTTGTTTGCGATGAAGATTAAGATGGCCTCTCCCCCGGGCACGAGAAGGTCGTGGATGTTCTGCAGAGCAGCCCTGAAACGCAGAACGGACCGTGATTACACTGTCGTATAACATTAGGTACTATACATCTAGAGGTCCCATTGTTTTTCTCACAACACCGTATCAAAGTTAAATCAACATTAAGTAGGCGTCTGCACCCATACACGGCATCGATCGATAGTTCTACCTGTATTGCTCTACGCGACTGATTCTGGGTCTATAATACCCAAATCCCAATCAATGAACGCTATGCAGGTTTTGGTTCTATAGTCAATACAATATTGACAGTTACTGGCTACGCACCCAGGCCCTGCCAATAGGGTAAAGATGCCTGAGATGCCTACTTAACGACCCCCCCCCCTAATTTGAACCAGCACTGCTCACGTTTTATGGGTGCCACTGTATACTGGATTCATTTTCGGAGAGATCGTTCATTTTCCTATCAGAATCTATTCATTTTCTGCCCCAATATCCACAAATTTATTTGTAGTGGGCAGTGGTGGATCCGGGGGGAGCAAAATGGGCATTTGCCCCACCCCCACCCCCCACCCCCAAACGGCATAATTTTAACATTACGCCTATGGACGAGGCATGGAAAGAATCGATAAATTGTTATGGTTTGCCACCCCCCCCCCCCAAACTCTGAGCTGGATCCGCCTCTGGTAGTGGGCATTTTGGCAAACCATTGAAAAAAAACTACAATAGGGAACTCGTCCCGATTAGCGACCGGGGAGGGTCGCTAATAGGTCTATGTGTTTCCCCATAGCTAAAATGGCGAAAAATGTTACGCTCGAAAACATGAAATAAGACACTTATGTATAACATATACGCAAAGCACTTTAATCACTGGAACAGGAGCATTTAGTCAGCACGCTGATGTTTGTGGAAGCTGTTCACGTAATGCACCAAGGGCGAAAATAAGGCGAAACCCCTTTTTTGGAGGTTATCCCGTATTGTATGCCCGGGCTGGATTCGGTACCCCTATAGGGGTACCGAATCCCCTGCATTCTGCCATGAGAATTGGTATTAGCCGTTTTCACGACGGGCTATCCGGCGAGTGCACCTAGTTTGACCAAATCTGCACCTAATCTCTTTTACAGACAGCAAAAATCTTTATTTTATGAAATTATTTCAGCGTTTTAATCGATGATACTCTCTGATAATAGTACAAAGCAGGCATATAGGCAATTAGTGCAACCAGCTGATAGCTACTAGGAGACACACTGAACCTAATTTGACCAAATCTGCACCTAATCTGCACCAAATGTGCACCAAATGTGTACCAGATGGCCGTCGTGAAAACGGCTACTACCCGCCACACATCGCAAGCTTCAGCAACCCTCATTTTCCCTTCTCTCTTTTCCCAAATGCCATTCATTTCCCTTCTTGAGCTACTTGCGAGTTGCGACCATGTCGGGCGCCAATAGGAAATATGGGCTGCGATACAAAAACATGCAGTGCACAATCAAGCGATTCACATACGGGAAGGCTGCAATCAATTAAAAAATGATTGTCGATTCAGAATAAAAAAGGTGCGTCATCTTAACGTGCATCGCTTTTCATCAGACATGGCACAAAAAGACACGGTTTGGATAAGAAAATGGCTATTTTTATTTAAACTCACCTAAATCGTCTCAACAAAGGCACCAACAATCGGAAAATAATTGAGATTACTAAGCTATGTATGGCAATCCTTTTGACATTGTTTTCGACCCAACTTCTCTTACCACTTTTTCTGTAGGGAGGTAGGTCGCAACTAGGAAAGGGTCGCTAATAATTAGCAACCTTGCCCTAAACATATCTGGTTCTAATCTGAACCCATTCAATGCGCACCGCTGGTTCATTATTCGTATCCACTCCCAGCCAATTCACACCTCTGGGCTCTGGTTCTTCACCCAGCCAATACACACCGCTGGTTCTGCACCCAGCCAATACACACCGCTGATTCTGTACCCAGCCAATACACACCTCTGGTTCTGCACCCAGCCAATACACACCGCTGGTTCTGCACCCAGCCAATACACACCGCTGGTTCTGCACCCAGTGCAGGCAGAAGAGGGAGACCACCCGGTGGAAGGTGAGGCCGATCTCTGCGGCCGCCGCGGCCGAGCCGATGTCGGCCACGCGGAACCGCAGCCGCTCCGAGCCGTACGTCTTTGTGGCGAACTGCACCATCGGCTCCGAGACGTCCACACCGAGCGCCGAGCCAAAACTGGGGACAGGGCAGACGGTGACTGTCTCCCAAAGGCCGGCGTGTGCGGGCGAACGTCAGCATCGGCTGTGCTCCGCACTCCTAGACTCGGCTTCGTGAGAAGAAGATCCGCATCTAACTTTAATCGAATCGCAGAGAGAACTGTGTCCCATACTATCTATTTTTTTCGATCTTCATGTGGACCTCGCGAGGGTACCGCAATTCACGGCGTTGGGCGCGTGGCCCCATGGCGGCAGCAGCAGCAGCAGCAGCAACCGTCACTCACCGGGGTAGCGGCAGCAGCTCTCACTCACCGGGGCAGCAGGGGCACTGGGCAGCCCTCACTCACTGGGGCAGTGGCGGCAGCACCAGCCGTCACTCACCGGGGCAACGGCAGCAGCAGCAGCTCTGACTCAACAGGGCAGCAGGGGCAGCACCAGCAGCAGCAACAGCAGCTCTCACTCACCAAGACAGCAGCGGCATCAGTAGCTCTCACTCACCAGGGCAGCAGAAGCAGCAGCAGCTCTCACTCACCAGGGCAGCAGCAGCAGCAGCAGCAACAGCAGCTCTCACTCACCAGGGCAGCAGGGGCAGCAGCAGCAGCAGCAGCAGCAGCAGCAGCAGCAGCTCTCACTCACCAGGGGAAGCAGCGGCAGCTCTCACTCACCAGGGCAGCAGAAGCAGCAGCAGCTCTCACTCACCAGGGTAGCAGGGGCAGCAGCAGCTCGGTGAGCACGTCGCCGGTGCCGCAGCCGATGTCCAGCAGGCGGTGGTGGTTGCGCCACTCAAGTCGCGCCACCAGCGCCGGCAGTAGGCGGCCCACCTCGCGCCGCTGCAGGCCGTTCGCGCCCATGTACAGCTCCGGACTCTCCATCTGGCACCGGCCGGACGGCCCGACTTCAAACACGAGCAGCCGGGAAACAGTCCGCTCAGCTGGGGTACATACATGCTCTGCAAGTCATGCCATAAATGGCCTATTGTCCCTACTTCTCACGCATTTTCACGGCCTAGTCCGCTCTCGCACTGCCTGCAAGAGGACGGTCTTCTTGGGCTGTAGCTTCATTGCTTTGGTGCAGTGTTTTTGAGCGATCTTTATATCGATTTTAGGCGTAACGTTCATTAGCAGATTTTGGTACGTTTGTCGTATTGGGGGTTGGCATAATACCTAGTCAGCACAGAGACCCAAGGCGGTAATTTACTTGAAGAAAAGGGGTACGACGTATAGGTAGATGCATACGCGATTTGAAAAAGGAAACGGGATGCCTTATAAATGTTATGTTATTATTCATTGAATTCTCAATAGACCTTTTTCAAAACCACAAACGCACGAATCCAACATCATCTTAGATAAGCACAAGTGCCTGAACTCACCTGTATGCCTTTGGCTTGCAGATCGACTGAGCAGCGACGCACCGCTTGAGGCGCTGGCAATCGCCGGAGGGTATATATCGGCTGCGGGACCCCAATCGGTCCATCGCGGCGCGGCACCCACTGCGGCGCACCCCGCCGAGCTGGCACCTGCAGCCGCTCAGGATCCACCATTGCTGATGCTCAGAGGTCACAGGTCAGTGGTGCCTCCACTCTGTGACCGTAGATGGGCGGGCGACAATGGCGGCTCGCTCTATTTCGGGGCTTCTTATCAGCAGTTGTTGGAGGTATTGTTAGAATGAAGGTTAGATGTCATCTCGTTCGAAGACACATAGTGGTTTAACTTTAGTTGTTGATTTCAACCCTCAATGTTGTCGAATGTCGATACTCGATGCGTCATTATATATGCCTCAGTTTTCATTTAAAGTGATTTTTCGGGCTACACTAACGTAACACCTAAGAAAAAAATCAAATATTTTATTTTTTATTGATAAGCCGGAAAGACTGTTTTGAAATGGGAGATTCAAGATACAAATGCAACATATATCTAATAACTAGCTACTGGATGAGCGTGCAAAAGAATACTTATCATGTTCGTTTTATTGACAGTCTACCAATCAACAGTTGCCGTCAACATCCGTATTGTCATAACACGACATAAGCATGGACGTCCCCAACAATAAACCAAAGCGACCCGGGCGCCATGAAGACCTTATCCCTATCATTACACGCGACCATCAGAGCTAGTCGCGTCTCAATTGCTCACGACTGCTCTTCCTTGGGTTTGCTCTTCTCGCCGCGGTACACTCCCAGCAGAGCCCCCATCCTGGGGGACCGGTAGGCGTGGTGCTGGCCGTGCCCGTACCCCATTACAGGCCTCCGGCGCGGGTACCTCCTCGGACCCATCATGTGCTGGATGTTGTGCATCATTCGGTGGTACATTCTCCGGAAGAAGCCCTGAGGCGGCCGAGGAGGCGGCGGCCTCGTTCGGGGCCCGTGCATGTGGGGACGGAAGGCGCCAGGAGGTCTTTGAGGGTGCGGTGGTCGTGACCCAGGACGTGGTCGAGGTCGGGAAACTGGGATGGAGCCCACGGGTCTTGGTCGACTTGCAACATCAGTGTCAGAGAAAATACTATTTGAATCCTGCGCTTCAGTGAGTTCCTCTGAGAGCTCAGAGCCTACCGGGTCGTTAGAGAACGAATCGTCACCCGCAGGTTCCGAGGACACACCGAAGTTAATTGGACGGTCAGCAGGCACAGGGCCAACTCCAGGTCGAGGCCGTCTAACGATCACGGGGCGAATATTGCGGACATCCTCTCCACGGAATCGGTGATGCTCCGGACCAAACGTTGACGGATGCCTTGTGTGTTGCGATGGCCGCCGAATATCATTGGTGTCTGCGACCTCCAGAGGTGCCTTTGGGCCGCGCTGTTTAGCTGCTGGCTTATTGAAACCTGGTGGCTGTATTTTGTGAGGTTTGATGTGCTGACCCGCCATGTCTGATTTGGGTTTTTGTTGATCATCAATGTTTTGTAAATAACCAGTGACTGTCTTCCGACCTGGAATACCTTCAGACAAAGGTTTATCTGAATCGACGCTATCTACGTAAGTGGGAATGATATTCGGAATGCCCGAAAGATCGGAAACGAAGGTGTCAACCCCGTGATCGGTTTCGTCTAATGAATCGTCCAGGGAAGTAAAAACGCTTGTGTCCGTTTGGAGAGAGTCGAAATCCTCTGCAAGTGAACGGCCGTCCTCTTCCTCAAAATTAATCTTTCCAGGCATTATACCTGTCAGAGTCAAAGCAGAATCAAATGGATATCGTGAAGGTACATCATCTAGTTCATGTGACTTGTCTTCGTCGTCTCCTGTAAGCCCTTGTTGCATTGTGTGATCGACTTCGGCCACATGCAGAAATGTTCCGTCACTTATTGCATTATGCAGCATGGCATGTCGAACGTAGTCCTCAGGCGCGCCAATGGCCATATAGTTAGGGTCATGTAGGCTATTAAGATTGTTTCCATTATTTTGTTCAGCTGGCGTTTGCGTTGTTGCCATTGATAGGGAACTTTTGTTGATCGATTCAGTCACGCTGTGAGACATGCTAAGAGCTTTTCCAAAATTGCTCAGGTCTTCTCTGTCGAAGTTATCGGCATTTGAAATTGGTGCTACTGATCCTAACGACGAAAGGTTCTGTTCGGCCATCAGTGATGCCGGGGACCCGGTGCTGGTACTGGCCTCCTCGATGACGCTCGGCGACGCATCGGATCCGTCACTAGTCGACAAGGGCTTCTGAGCCTCCATTTCTCGTAACAGTTTTTCTTTGAGCTTTATGGCTAGCTCGGCGTTGCGTTCTGCCTTCTTGATTTCTCTCTGCCGTTTTCTGAACTTATCGCCATGGTGATCGGTGGAGACGAGTGGCGTGCCAACCTCTGTCAGGCTGCTAGTTTTGTCCGGTCGCATGTTCGGTTCGTCTATGGGAGACGTCGGCTTCTCGGTAGCTGAGCCAGTCTTGTTAGATGAATCTTGTTCGGCTTGTTTTTCCATTTCCATTGAAGCTGGCGTGTCTTTTTCGACACTTTGGTCAACATCTACAATAGGTTCTCTCACAGATTCGTTCTGATGATCCAAATGCGAATCTTCCATTTCGACAGAGTCAGAGGTCAGTTCAGGCGTGTGGTTCAGCGCTTCCTTGATTTCATCCCTCAGCAGCTTACCGTTATGTACGGACGAGCTGAACTGTAGCTGCTTCTTCAGCTGAGCAGTCAACGCTGCCTTATATTCTGCACTGTCCAACATAAACGAAGCTATTTTATCTTCCCGAAGATCGTGTATCATCTTGAGCGTTTGATCGCGGAGCTCTTGGTCCGTCTCGGTCGTTGTGGTCATGACGTCCGGTGCAGGGGTCGAGGTCAGCATTCGCCGCAGCTGGCGGATGTTGGCGTGGACGTCGTTCAGCACCGTGTACCGCTGCCCCCGTGTCAGCGGGCCCAGAGTCGGCGGAGGTCGGGGGGTCGGCGTCACGGGCCGACGCTCCAGCCACAGCGTCACCTTCTGGAAGGTGGCTCGACGGCGCCGCTCGGGCGCGGTCAACTTGGGCTGGCGAGTCGGTGGGATGGTGGACCTTCTCCTCACCACAGGAACAACAGGCTTCGACTGATGTGGGAGGCGAGTGTTATCCTCTCGCCCGTTTCGTATTGGAGGCGAGTCGCGAGTGGTATTCGACTGTTTCGCCACGGCTGACTTTAGATGTTTTTCGGCATTTTCTGATGAGCCAGTCCTTCTAATCTCAGAGGGTGTCGAAAGATGTATGGGTCGGTGAATATTACCAGATAACGATGAAACACCCGGGCTGATGCCTCTGGGATTATAGGAAAATGACGTCGGGAGGAACCCGCTCGATCCAGGAAGTGGTAAGTAGTACGTACTATCACGAAGAAAAGGCGGGATGCGACCGGTGAAGGTGACGAAACGGTGGTGGCCAGGAAGATTTAGGTGGCCAATTGGGCCTCTTGTTTCGTACGTACCACTTATGTTAACGCTTTTTCCTGACTGAGTTTCATTTGAAGACCGCCCTAAACGAGGCTGGTTCTTTCTCTCGAAACTAGTGTCTCTCGTCTCTCCATCCCATCCACTTTCTACACTGTAGCCGTCAACATTTGTTTCTTGTAGCAGGTCTCCAGGCACAGCCGTTTCGATGGCTTGACCGTCGGTGCCGTCATTCTCCGATTCTAACTGTGCTGTTTCATCTGCCTCTAGGGTTTTATCGATATCATCATCTGCAGACGGGTCTCCAACCACCGAGAGGAACCCCAGCTCTGACCGGCAACCGTCGCAAGGAATAATAATCTGAGTGGGCGGTGACCTTTCGTCCTCGTAAACATGAACCACCTGGCCATCCGCAGTGGGTGCAGAGGTGGCGTAACTCAGCTGCTGTCCTCGCACGGGGGCTCTAAAATTGTCATCGTCTTCACTTCCGGTGTCATCAGCAGCACCATGGAAGTGCTCGCCTGGCAACACGATGTGACGCTGTGGAAACGTCTCGTCGACGTAGACGAAGGCCTCCGGCTGGCCGTCGACCAGAACGGGCGCCGAATATCTGAACCTGTTGAAGACGTAAGACGGACTTGGTTGATCATGAAGATTTATTGCGGGAGGAGCTGGTCGTTTATGCGAATCCTCTTGATTTTGAGTAGTCGAAATGGATTGCTGACCAATGCTTCTAAAGGAGCTATTGTCATCTAAATAATCGCGCTGCTGCTGCAAAGCTGGGAGAACCGTCTTTGGTAGCGCTGACGTGATTTTCAGTGATTTCTGTCTATCGTCGTCTATTTTCGCCGCCTCTATACCGACTTCTTCGGTACCGCCGCCTAGTGGAGAATCTCTGATCGTACCAAGATTCGCCTTCAATACAAGTCTGGGTGCAACTGTGGTAAACTTATTCTGTTCAATTGGTAAACCCTTAGGTTTTGGCGACCCCTTCGCGACAGCCTCGGTTAACATCGG